GGATTTAAGGGAGTTTTGTCCTCAACCTATGTTTCAAAACTCCCCCAAACCCACATACCAAACAACCCCTTAAAGTATTTTTTTTTTTCCAGTTTGACCCTCCAATTTTTAATATAGTAAGAATTTGATTCAATTAACAGCTGTATTTAAAATTTTCACACAAAATGGACACGTGCACAGTTGTCACTTCTCTTTGTGATTACATGTATTTCAGTCATGTTCTTTCTTGGAAGCCTTTTATTGGACTGAATTAAACCTTGCCAAAAGTTCGAAGATTGCGCGGGTGATTTTCGGCGATACAAGTGGATAGCAGCACCAAGGATGAAAGGGTCAGCGAATCGTCGGAGAGATAGCGACAAAATGGACTTGCAAACAAAGAGGGTTAGAAGAGAGTTGAATGTGTATCTGACCTTTATCTTTTCGGAGCATACTTGGTACTAATCATTAAATGAGTAGCTTCATCGATGTGTCGTATGACTGGTCTCATTATCTATGATTGATTCTTTTATGCAAGCCCTTCTTCAGGTTTCTTGTGCTAGAAGGGCATGTATTCATTATTTTGTGGGACATCCACTTTTTTGTCTTTTCAATCATGTCATTAGATCCAACTATTGTGTACCAGTAATGTTCGGCCCTAAGCACTAATATCGTGTGAAGAATTAACTTATTTTTATAGACTAGAGTGAATGTCTATGTAAACTTTGAAGGTAAACAATATGATTAACCATGTTTATAAAAGAGTATGCACTCATTTAAGAAGGGATATTAAAGTCCTATACTAATCCCCAAACAACTACAAAAGGGCTTGATTTTGAAGTTGTAAGGAAGGCTTGTAAACTCAGCTCACCATTATACAAATTCAACAAAGTTTTTATCTCAATTATTTGCGATCTGCTAACTCGACTCATCCCCTCTCTTGATTCCTCTAAATAAAGCAAGGCAAAGTAAAACGAGATACGTCCCCAAAATTTGAACCAAGACTACTAACAAACTTTGTAAATACCTATTTGTTCCTAATCCCCCTATTTTTTTCCTTTGAATCGGTAGTTATATATAAGAAAAATTAACCATCAGTTATGGGTTGCTAATCAAGAATAAAAAGGATCATTTGAAGCTTCTTTTTTCTAGGTCAAAGTCATCTTGTTTCTTCCAAAGGACTAAGCAGCAAGGCAGTACAGTAGTGAAAAACATGAACTTAAATATTCCGTGCAATTTCATCAAGTATAAGAGCCAAAGTTGCCATTTATATTGTTATGATAGCAGCTTTTTAGGTTCATCTATGAAACTTTTAAGTTTCTTCTCGACAAAATAATGCAGAAACAAAATAATCTGAACTTTTGAGAAAAGAAGTGTGTGATACGTAATTCCGTCACTTTTTACATTAACAAGGCTGTCATGTCTTTATTTTAAAGAATCTATTTCTTTCTCTCACTCTGTGAGTGAGAGAGAGAGAGAGGGAGAGTTTTGTTCCCTCTTAGATATTGCTTTCACCCACATGACCACATATAAACCAAAGATGCTCATTTGAAGTTCAAAAGCATAAAATGAGCAGCAGCCCTTTTGAGTAGATAATGCCATATTTTGCTTTTAAGTGTGTTTTATGAGAGTGCTTTACTTTAAGCAAATGAAAAAAAAAAAAAGCTAGAGGGTTGTTCAACTTCAATGTATTCTCATTCAAAGAGAAAACTTGAAGGACTTGATAGTTAAAGGAGAGATCAAAAGAAAACCCCTAACTTTCAATTTAAAACAAATTATATCTCTTCATTGCAATCACAAAATTAGCAACAAATACAAAATATTTTCTGATTTGGTTTTGCTAGGATGATTATCAAACAAAATTTTATGTTATGGAAAGTATATGTGATGAATTTGATTAAGAGAACGGAGGATAGAGTCCTATAATTTTTGATTTGTGGGATGTACGACAATGCCTCAACATGACGCTATATAACAATCGATTGACGGCTCTATTATTTTAATACAAATTTCTTTGTTTATACATGTTTAACTGTTGTAGTATGGATAAAAGGCATGTTGTGGTATAGAAAACTTACATGCTCCTCTCTTGTTTCTCAAACACTCCTTTTCTAGCATTTCAAGAAGCTTTGCATTCAAATTATTTGTTGCTCTTTATATGTCTTTTTATGATATCAAAGATAGGAGAAGGTCTTTGACTGGGAGAGACTGAGAAACACGCACTTGGAAGTTCATCGCAAAAGATCATTACCAGAATAAAAAAGTGATAACAAAAGATTAAAAAGGTTTCCATCACTTTGTTCTATGATTGGTGGATCTCTATCTTTGTTTTGTTTTTTTGATTTTCTGTAATACTTTTCTTTGAATCACTTTAAATACAAGTAAAAATTAAGAGTAAAAGTATTTCCAGTAATGTTGATCTGCCAGAGCTTAATTCTTGTGATGAATCAGTAAAAGCCAAAGATGATTGGGGAATGAAAGAGAGATCTCTTGTTTGTTGTGTAATATAACAATTTTTGAGTATTTGAACAACACCAAGATAAGGTGGATAGTAAGTGGCATTGCACTCTTTTCTATGCAATTGCATGCTGAGAAATGAGACCACTGACCTAACATTTTATGGGCCAGAACAAAACAAACACCTATAAACACCCCCCAAAAAGAATTAGGCAATATTTTGTCTTACCATAACTTTGGGACAACGGATTAGAGAACTAATTTTGAACTCTAGTTTTTTGGGTGAATAAATAATTTGATTTCTAGAAAAGGGCAGTACACGAATGCTCAATACACAGCCAATTGGACTAGGAAAACACTCTATAAATGACATGGATCACAGAATATTAGACCACCGCAACTCAGTCCCAACAAAAATTAAAAACATGGTCAAACTTCAAGTTAGGCTTCCAAATCCAAAAGCAGTAGCAAAGAATTAGCATACAAGGCCCACTTCTTGTCTTCGTTATCAGTTGTTTTAACTTCTTATCTTGGGTTGGGGGGGGGGGGGGGG